AGTTGTTGTTTATAATGTATATTTATATATATAATGTGTATAATATAGTTATTTATAATGTGTATAACGCACTGGTTATGTGTAGAATATACATACATCGTGTATTATTTCTATTGTAGTATAAGCAGAATTGCAGAATTGCAGAATTGTTACTTTTCAACATACATTGGAGACTCAAACAGGCAGCCAAATCAGGTGGCACAAAATGGTGCGAGACCCGGTATAATTTGACCCCCTGACCCTGACGTCAGTAGATCTGACGGCTTTTGCGGGGCAACAGGCGCCTACAGCAAGCGAGACATCCAAAAGTACTGGGAGTCTTGTGCAGTGCGTCGGTAAGGCTGGGACGTTTGGAATCATTTTGACAAGCAGCCATCATGGGATCATGGATGATATTGGGGATTAATTGTGGAGCTATGGCATGTTTTTTGGGTTTAAGTTGATGAGACATGAGCATATCAGAATTCATAGGGTTGGTTTTACCCCAGGAGTATCGAGTTTTCTCTAGATTTCCCTTAAAACAACCCTTGAAAACCTGGACCCACACTGGCAGAGAGAGATGATTCTGGTGTGATGGAATTGTATTGGTCACAGGTGTTTTGCAGATGGTCGTGATAAGTGGTACATGCGGAAGATCCTCCCACAAAATAGTTGGTCAGTAATCAATCTATATAGAATATACTGTGCATAACTACATCATATTGTATATATATATATATATGATATATATATATCATATATATGTGTGTGTGATTTGCAACATGTAAATATATTTAAATAGTCATTAGTCAGAATCGACCCAGGGGGCTTATCAAAAGGTTGCTAAGTCGGACGGTTTGCACATGAAGATAACCAAGAAACCATTGCTGACCTGTCAGGCCATGCGGCACATGGCGGTGACGGCCATGGATTCGATGTGTAAAGTAGATTTGGAGAGATCGATTCATTATATGATGATTGTTTCTGTACACACTTATATATATATATTATATGATATATTATATATATATATAGATATATCTATATATATATATATTTGTATACACCATTCTACACATATTTGCACATTCAACAGAGTGCGTTTTGTGCGTTACACACAAATCTATATATGTATGTGAAAACAAAATGCCAAATGCAGCCGGCAAATGAATAAAATCCAGTGGAACAAATGGCACATGTTTTCAAACTTTGAGAAAACCATCCATAGTCAGCATTTTTTTACATTCATGGGTTTGGCCTCCAGCTCTCTTTTCCTTCCTTCGATTGCTTAATTAATGCACAAATCACCCCACAGGGGATGCAAAGGACACGAGGAACTGACTGCAGCATCATGCGCAGTGTCAACTGGTCTCGGTGCAGTCCGAACCAACGACGTTTCCAAACTTGCACTACCAGTTGCAGTAGGTTGAAAACGCAGCGGCCTTGGATCCAGTATGCAGGGTTGGTATTGATGTGATTTCTGCAATAGCAGGGCCCATGCATATCAACAGCTTCATGTAGGATAGAATGGAATACGCAGATGGTATTGAACTCACGAAGGGATACGAAGAAGGCAATCCAAGATGGGTCCTAAGCCGTTCAACGAAAAAGGGATCCATCGATTTTTTCCGACAAATCTGACACCAGATGGCATTTTACAAATTTTCGTTGGCTTCCCATTTGGCACGGCTGCGGTCCCAGCATTGTTACGGCTCAGCGCAGCTGGAGTGCTTATTTGCAGACCTTTTGATGGGTAGTTACCGGGTAGTGGCGCGGTCTTGTATGGTCTTGTAGTAATCATGATGCGATTCCAAGGGCTGGCCTGGTTTGACGTCGAGCTGCCCCGAACATTTCCACATGTCATCCACCCTAAGTTTTCCGAGTAGGGTGAACGCTCAGCCACATTGTTCCTATATATAATTAATTCAGCCAATGATATTTTTATGGGAACACTTACAGGAACCTTTATATTGTGTTGGAATATTCCATGTTTCCCTGCCAGATTTTTTCTTGAAAAACCTGCATCCCATGAACAACGGCCAGGTTTGCATGTGGATGCCATTGACATTTGCCCCGGCGCTGTTGAGGTGCGATTGTATCTCCTTTAAATGGCTGGAAGGCTGGAATTTTCTTAAGATGGATTGTATAGCTTAATGAAGGTCCAATCCTAAAGTATGATGCGCATCTTTTGGAAAGATTCATCCTACTAAATCTCCCAAATGGTATCCTCCACCAAATGATACCAAATGAACATATGTAGAACGGAAAACAACCCATCTTGAGTGGACACTTTTCCAACCCCCGACTCGTGGCACGGCCGAACTGTTGACGTTGTTGATTTCGGGGTTGGGCTTTATGTTCACCTTTACACTTTCTTCTCGGAATGTTAAACACCCCCTGAAACTGCTAAGTGCGAATCGGAGATGGGATTGTTATAACGGTCATCATGATGGATGTTTCACTTGAATTAGTTAGGACTATTGATTTATCCACATGGTTATTCAATTTCCTATCATGGATCCCCTCTATTATCCAGACTTGTCTTAAATACATCTAAATATGATATTCCAAATAGATCCATTATCTGGTTGATGGTTTCAAACATTTTTTTATTTTCCATAATGTATGGGATGTCATCCTTCCCAATGACTTTCATATTTTTCAGAGGGGTAGGTATACCACCAACCGGTTATATATATATATAAATGGGCTATTGAGCTATTGATCTATAGGGCCGGTGTGAGGGATGGGATATTTTTTGCAGAAGAAATCCAGCGAGGTCATGCGTTCCAGAGGCATTGCAGCGCGGCAAGGTGAGGAAAATCCTGTTGGTTTTAGATATAGACTTCAGATATATATCTATATACATACATATATATATATATGATGTATATATAGATTATATTAATATTTATAGATTATGCATAATCATATAGAATACATACCTATATTTGTAGATTGTTGTAATATGTTTATATATATAATATGTGATGTACGTTTTTTTAAATGTATGTATATATCAGATTCGTAGACAATACCATCGGCACCACCCAAAAGAATAGAAGCCCCACAATTGTTAAATTCAGTTTTAGTTGAAGGGGGGGTACCTTATTACGTGTGTATGCATTCCATGTATGCACTCTATAAATATATGTATATTTGTCAATCAATCTATCTATCGATCTATTCGTCCATGCACCCATTCATCTATCTATTTGTTTGTCTATCTGACTATCTATCTATCTATCGATCGATCTATCGATCTATCTATCTATCTAATTTAGTTAAGAGGTAAAATCACTGACGTCACTAGAAATCCTCGGATTTGTAAGGGTAGTTATCCCCACACAGTTTCATCTCAGGTGAATTGCCCTACTGCCAGATGTTCCTTGGGCTGATCATCCCAACCTTAGGCGTACCACATGGCTTACCCATTGAAATGACATGGTTCATGAAATGGGAATTAAGCCATGAAACCCGATGACGGAGTTACAAGGATAACTGACCCATTTACTCTGAAGACTCTGAATGCCCTGTGGGATCATCATCATCATCATCACCATCACCATCATCATCATCATCATCATCATACCAGTTGACTATTAATTTTATATAGTGTTTTTTTTGGGAGTTTTGTATGTATTATATAATGAATGGCCAAAGCCGTGTGCTACTTTACTTTTTAGGTTTTTTCATCACAGGGTTGTGAAAAACATGGTGGTAGTTCTACCCTGTTGTTTTGGTTGGCGTTCAGGCCATTCTCATTAGACAATATTGAAAACTGAGAAAAAAAACTGTCCTGAGTCATGAAGATGCTTTATTGAAACTCTTGAGTTTCGTTCCCGGTTGTTTCCTTGCGCCATCCCCAGAAACACCTTAGGACCTTAGGATAAACGTCATCAACAAATGGTTCCACAGGCAGCTTTTGGAAGTTGGGGCCAGAGCGATACGACACGCTGCTGATGCTGATGAACACAGCAGGTGCTGATGGGGCTGGGATTGATGGCGGGGAAGTGCCATCTTGACCCGTCATAGTTTGGGATTTAGTGGTAAAGGGTGTTGATGATGATGATGATGATGATGATGATGATGATGCCATGTATTGCCCTTGCATTGACAAATTTGCAGTTCATGGTTCAGGGGGACCCATGAGCGGGCACCCTGTTAGTAAATGTATGTAATCCACAGTTGGCGTTGCATGGAAATCTGTCATGGATCCGTGCAGGTTGGCTCTAGGTACAGAGTGCTATTGGGTGTTGATTGATGGCGCGGTGTCAAGAGGTACTCCCACCCTGGAATCCCTGAAGGTAATTTGCTTGATCATTGGCAAACTGACCCTTGCAAGATGAATTTGTCCTATCATGTTTGCCTGTAGGCTCCTTTGCTCAAACTTCTTGTTTGATGGTTTTAAACCCACATGAACCCAACATGAACCGCAGGTGCTTCTGGCGACGTCAGGAGCCTTGCTGGCATGTCTTATCACAGAGGGCCATACAAGATGCTGGCCATCCTCCCGTCCACTTTGGGAGCCACATTGATAGAACCACTTTGATATCTCAATTTTGGCTGCTCATATCATTAGTTTATTTTTGCTTATTTGGTTCTGTGACGTTCTGTGCTAACTTCCATCCTTGATAGGCATTTGGTTGCTTCATAATTCCTCATTATTGCCACTTACAACATATCATATCATGTTTGGACCATCTTCCGCATGCGAAGACTATATCCAGACACGCAGGCTGCACACACCCCGAGGTTTCCAAAAGCTCCTACAGAAGTTGAAGGAGCACCTGACGCCACAGGGGCAGATCCTGCTGGATGTGCCCCTTGGAATCCTTGGATCGCGGTCCTCTATCAATGGGGGATTTGTCCATGACCTTTGGCCATGTTTGTTTACCAAACGGAAGTTTCAAGTTGTGGCTCATGCGAATGGGGCAGATGGGGCAGTTGGGTTTCTGTGACACTGTTGGACGGAAGAGTTTGCTTTCTGGAAAATTTGGTCAAGGTCTCCACCAGATTGGATGGCCTTGCGCCGTGCTCGGCGCACGAGACGGACAAGGCATGATGGTTTCAATCTCTATAGACTAGTTGGATTGCGGCCCTGTGTCTATATTTATTTCTGATCCTTTAGGATCTGTTTTTTCTTCCTCATATTTTGTGTTCTCTTCTTTTTTGGGCTTTTTCAATGTTTTTCATACTTTTTCTTCTGTAGGATCATGAACATGGCCCGCTTCGCCAGGATCCCAGAGGAACAAGTGCAGGAAGGGCAATGGGCGATGCTCAACTGCTGGCTGAGTTTCTTGCCCCTCCTCAAATGGAGCATCTTGTGATTTAGGCTGGCTATAGCGGCTAAGAGGCACGGCTAGGATTACCGGTGAAGCATATATATGCAAAAATAACCCTGGTAGTTTCCTGGTGGTTCAATCCCAATGGGTTCGGAGCTCTAGGGCCCTGACAATTTGAAAGGCTGAGCACCGCTACCGTCAACGGATGAATATCGGACATATAATTTGATATAGTCCGTGGATTCCCTTTATAGCAGTCAAACCCAAAAAACAGGAAACCCCTATATTTCTCGGCTGCTTGGGCATGTCAACGAGAACGTAGATTCTTGCAGCTAGGGGCCATGACCCACCCAGGTCAGCATAGGTCAACCCCCGCCAAAAAAAGGGAGATTATTTAAACGGATATGAGGATATTATGTGGTCCAACTGGTTATTATGTTGCTATATATTGTTATTATTCAAACGTTTATGCACTTTTTAAAAAATCAAAACATCATATATATAACATTTGTAACATTGACTTCTGGTCCAATTTGTTTGTAACATTAACATCATATATAACAAATGATATCCACACTAAATCGTTGAATCGAATTCGCGTTGGCCCAGGCTATGGGCAGATGGAGGGCGAGAGTTTCTTCATGCTCTACCCGGAGCCACAGGTGGCCGTCCAGCTGGCGAAACTGGCAGGACACCGTCGAGGGCTTCATAACGTGTGGAGCTTAGTGATGGTGAAGAGATCAGAATGATGTTTGTATTATGGTTATATTGTTTAAGGGTTGGCAATGTATATTATATACATATATATATACACATATATATATGAATATGTGTATGTATATAGCACTGTTGTTAGTTTTGCTCCTATTTCAAATCCACAATTATCACTAACCATAATAATAACAACAATAATAATAATTACCATCATTACCAGGCATACCTTCTTGGTTTCCATAGTTTTGGGTATAGGTATGCAGTCTCAGGCTCATCCGGCGATTATTCGTGGCTCCAGGATACGAGGCCACGGTTGCTTATCGAGACCCTCAGAGTCAGCATGCCTTGCTGAAAATGAGGCCTGGACCAATGAGACTTGCAAAGGTTCCACCGGGAAATACTGGTATGTAGGATTTTTGGAGAAATGAGGAAAAAAAACAAACGCAGCTATCTTCCGTTATGTTCCATCTCGACCTCCCTGACCTTTGATTTTGAAGATTGGAAGCGTCAGGAATTGATCTTATTATATACGTTTGTACTGCCGAATCAGCATCCAGGGCATTTTCTTTGTGTCAACCACTCTGGATTTCAACGTGTTTTCTTAGCTTTTTCACAGGCACAGGTTTGAGAGCTGGCAGAAAATGAAAGCGACATGGAAAACAAAATGCAAAACATAGCAGTTTAGTCATGTTCACTCACTGATTTTCCAGTGTACGATCATGATCTCTTGATTTCTGCAGGTAAGCTTCCCTGATATGTTGATCCATGGAATTTCTCCATCTCAGTCCGCCACATGCCCAGAAAGCCATAGGCCGGAGTTGAAGACACAGGCTCTCACAGAGCAAGCCAAAGGACACGATGAATGCAGATGGATCATGTTGGTTTTGGGTTGGGCCAGGGGGGGGTACTTCACCCATCACCGTTTTTTTCTCGATCTTACAGGTGGAGTCATGACTTGGGTAGGATAAACAGGATAAACAGGATAACCTTCGGACAAGCAGGGCTAAGTCAGTAACAATATCTAAATAGGTGGTACGCCATGTATCACTGGAAAGAAGGGAAATTGACCCGTCCTGCTTAAGAAACACACGAGCCAGGGGATATTCAGCACCAGTCCAACCGGTCCAGTGAACGATCAGAGAATTGCAGAGAAGGGAATAACAAGCCCATGCTGCCCATGCTTGTTGAATTGTTTGTTTACTTCTATGTTGTGTGCTTGTGTGCACTTTGTTTCTCACAAAGTCTCAAGTCTAAAAGATTGCATATGATTGCGTATGATTGCGTTTTCCTTCAGATCACGCATGTCAATGTTGCAGCCCTTTCGAAGCATTGCTTTGCTTCGCAGGATCCTTTGCTCCAATGATTGGGCAATCCGGAGAGAAGCAGCCTGTGAGGAGCCTGTCAAAGAAGTTGGGAAAATGCATCGCGAAGGCGCTTCCGTCCAAGGTTTCGGCAGAGAGTCCCTTGGGGACACCTTCGCCCAAGCATGTGCCATGGGTGGTTTGAGAACATGGATGTTGAACTGGCGTTGGTATTAAGAGAGATGGGCCCATGACCATGGGCCCACAGAGTGGCTACACAGTTTCAGTAGTGAAGTATCATGCTTTCCGGGAAACCTTTGGTGCCTTCACGTCTATTCCACTGGATTACCTGGATTATTCTAACCCCCGGCCCCCAATGTTGGGTTAAGGGCGTCATGTTTATTTCAAGGAGGTCGTTTCACCAATTGGGTGGTTCGAGAAGTTGGAGATATTCTTGTGCACCTCCTCTCAGCCCTATCACTTGGATGTTCGCAGCTCATGGGCTGGCAGCTGGACCCAGCCTGCGGTCAAGCTTCGTTTCACCATGGGAGTAGGATGTAGCTTGGATGACCTGCCGTGCTGCACCAAGAATGACGCCAGTACCTGGCTGCAAGCTGCGTGACCTGGGGATATTTGGGGCTGAAGCTGCATGTTTTCATCATATATATTATATTATATTATATTATATTATATTATATATTATCATATATCATACTCATACAACCAAAAGAAATCCAACCAGTGTCTGGCAGTTTCTGAGCGTGTTGGGATAAACCCCTGTTTTTTTGGAGGAACTGGTTGAAAAAAGACAGATTGGGGCTTGGGGGATGACCGGAAGTCTTATAGCAACTCTAGCGTTCTGTGGATAGGTATGGATATGGATAGGAACATATAGGAACTCTAAGGGTTCCTGAGTTTACATTACACTGATTTGAAAGTTTCACGAATTGCTTGGGTCACTTGAAGACCTTTGAGCAGTGGCCATGTGGCGATTGCCCAGGTTCAACTGGTGAGGTAGTGTGGTGCCCCAGATGCGAACCTGGAGAATGATGGATAGATAGATGCATAGTTAATAGGTAGTTCCCCAAAATGGAATTTCTGGAAAGTATGGAAAACTATAGAATCTTCATGAATCTTCCAAAAGTATCATGTTCGCCATTTCTATCTGGGGGATTACTGCAAGGTTTTGGTTTCATTTTGATGTTCGCCTGTATTTGGGATGATCCTCACTGACTCATATTGTTTGAGTCGGGGGGCGAAGCCATGAACACCAGGGCGGTAGTGGATGACTGGAAAATCATTGGGTGCTTTCCCGGCAACTTTTGATCTTAAAAATCACCAGCTTGAGATTTGGCGACATGTGATACTACACCCCCAAAATTGTAAAAGCCGCTTTGAATTCCCAGCCCGCTTTTTTCCGTTGAAAGACTACTTTCCGCTCTAGATTGTCGATTTTCAAGGTTTATGCATGTTTATGATATCTAAGTTCGTCGGGGGACTGGTATATCATGGTACGTCCATTCATAATACGTGTATGTGTACGTATATATATATAATATTATATAATTATATATATATATATTATATCAATGTTGCACTTCTATATTTGGAATGATGATCCCCTTGTATTTTTCCGTTCTAGCCTTGGCAGGTGAAGGCTAGACCCCTGGAGTATGCTTCAGCTGATAGTCAGTTGGCCAAAGGTGCGGCCTGGGTTTTCACCTGGTTTTCAAGGTCGATCACTTGGAAGATGCGCTGAATTTTAGGGTGGGAGTTCAGAAAGGGACCTGCAACCAAGTCCATGGTCGAGACGTCGATATATGTCGATATTTGCATGTCTTCCATGACATCATGAATGCCCTTCATTCAGAGTCCTAGCTTGCGCCAAAAACCGCGATGCTTGGCTCGGGGCTTTTTTGTCAGTCGTCAGTCCCAACGCTACGACGTTGGTGCCATGGAGCACTTGCAGAGTGTTTGGAAAGATGCGCCTGCCATCAGCCGCAGCTTCACCGTGATCCCCTTGGTGTTTCATTGCGCCAGCTGGCGATGGTCCCGGGAACTCGATGTCTTGAAGCTTTCCCTCGACAGTTTTAGGAGCGAAGATCACAACAGTTGCGGGGCCGTGGTTCAATGGTGGTATATCGTATCTTGTATGGCAAAGGTATGTCATTGTGATTCATTGTGTTCGCAAAACCTGCAAGTTTGCAAATAGCAAGTGGATTACATGTCAGATTCCAGCTTTCTTTATACTTTATGAGTCTTTATGCTAATTTACTTTACTCAGGCTTCGTGCCAGTTGTTGGTTCTCCTGGAAACTGGTCCAACATGGTCCAACATGGTCCAAAATGGTCAACATTTGGCCCCAGCAGGTCCAGATGAATTCCTCAATGAGTGGATCCAAGAATTAGGACACACCCCAAACCATCCCAGTCTTCATTGGTTTCCCTACTGAAATCATCAAACACAAGCAATATATATATATATATATTCAATATAGTGGCATGATTTGGGGTCCCCAATGTGAGGAGTCTCTCATGATATCTCATAACATCTCATTAGATCCGTTTGGATCCTATATTTAGATATATTATGATATATTTAACCATATATTTATAGTTCTAGATTATCCCAGTATATCCATCTATATCCCATATCGCTGAACCGCGCTGCCTGCAGGAATGAAGGCCACTACTGGGCCATCTTTACGGCACCATTTTGGGAGCCTGCTGGAGGAGGCTGAGGGGCCTCACCTGAGAAATTATTTCCCCTAGATGTGTTCTCCTCCATTTATAGACTGTCATCATGTCATAAACGCACACACACAAACACACAGGTAATTATATATATATATACTTTTTTTTTTCTCTTTATATGCATATATAATTTAATAATAATATTAATAGTATAGAAATAGATGCTTATAAATGCTTTGAACATTGGCCAGAATTGGGGCCAACAAGTTGGAAGAGCCCTTTTTCGATCCATGGCGGATTTCACAGATGAGCAGCCACCATCACCTCGAATGGTTTGGTTTACTTCCCCCTACCCTCTGGCAAACGTTTACATAACTATGGAAAATCACCATGTTATTAATGGGTAAATCAACTATTTCTATGGTCCATTTTCAATAGCTATGCTAGTTTGTTAGTTTACCAGAGGGTAATGGTTGGCCGTGAATGTGCATCCATATGGGAACTGTCTGCAGGACTGTTGCAGTCGCTGTTCGCCCTGCTGGTTGCTTACTGGATCCTCTCTGGCTTGCCACGCATTGAACGTGCCATGGGTTCCGGAAAGCTGTTGCTTTGGAGCTGCTGTGCCACCATTGCGGTGAACGTGGTGTTCCTGCTGCTTGACAGGGGGCAGGGTGGGTTGATGTGGGTTGCCTCCCCTGAAGATGTACTATATCGAAATATAGATTCGGATTATGGGTTTTGCTTCTGGATGTGTCATGGTTTTGTTTTCTTTGTCAAACTTTGGAGTGCCGGAAAGGAATCGAGAGTTGTTTTGTGCATCCAGAAGTGGGTCCAAAATCCGAATCAATTCCAGCATCCCAACGAAGTCCCAACGATGTACCCCAGGAACTCTGCCACGTTATTCTGAGGCTCTTTGCTTTGGTACTGGATCTTTTCTATCAAGCCAGGATGCTGGGACTGTAGAAGGATGGAGTTGGATGTAAGATTGCATCCCAGCGAATAGTCTCAACATAGACAGAATAGATTACAAGAAACTGAATCTGGATCTCTAAGACTCTATGATATCTCACTCTCTCTCCATCATCAGGGAGGGGATGTTGGTCTGTATTTGGACCTGGGGCCGATCTCAATCACCAATTGCGTCTGTCGACCAGCAGTGCCGCGCGGGAACTACTGCATCAAGGGCTCTCTAGAATGTACACGGTAGTGCAAAAGCAGCATACATATGCATACATGTGTTTCTTTCAAAATTTAAACTTTCTAGTATTAGTACTGTACTGTATTCAGTATATGTAAAATTCAATGTTGTTCATTGGTAATCCATGCGTTGCCCATCCCTACAATGCCTCGTGTCCATGCAGCATAACGATCTGGCTATCCCAAGGCGATGCGGATGGTTTCATCCTTGGGATTGCCCATACTTTGCGATTTGATTCTGACCCCACAATAGGATACCATAGGACGACGCAGTGCAAAACCTGGAAATCTTAATATTAATATATATATATATTAATGATAAAGATCGCATACAGTTTGCCATAGAATTGTTTTTCTATATATGAAAATGCTGCAGAGGCCCTCTATTCGACTAAAAAAGTCATGGCTTCACTGATTCGTCGCATGAATCCATTGGGTATAATGATTCGCTGGAATTGGCCAATCCTCAGTTTTGGTCATTTGTTGATTTTGTTGAATCATGCAACCATAAACAGGACAATGTATTCAAACAAGCACAGTTTCCGGCGTCCAATTTCCAATTTCCAATTCTCAGTTTTGTTCGGCCTTAAGTGTTGCTACTCTCACATCACGCTTTGAACATGTGTTCAAAATCGATGGATATAAAATGATATAAAACATTATAAAACCGCGGGATTTCCGGTGGAATTTCCCTTCAAAACAGGTGCCCATGAGTGCCCCCTTGGAGCGCCTAGGAGTTGGTACTCCATTTGGCCTTTGATCCCCACCCGCGGTCTGGTTCCTGTTGCCATCTACGCCCTAACAGTGCACAGCTTGGCGGCGGGGGAAGCGGAAACCACCCTGGTGGGGATACCGCTCAAGAGGCACCAGTCCTGGGACATGCTGTGGCGAATATCATGTGAATACCATGGGAATAAAAACATGGGACTATACACTCCAGCAATCAAACGTAGCTTGCTGGAAAATCACCCATTTAATTTAGTTCGATGATGTTCCCAGCTATAAACCTCCATGTATCGGAAGTTGCCTTTTGCTATGCTTGATTGCCAGAGGGTAATGGGAATATACCGCGGGAATAAACATTTGGGTATAACAAGTTGGCGATAAGATATTGGAATATTTTTCACCACATGAGGATATCATAGGAATTCATGGGGGTATAACATGGTATAACGTCTGTTGGGCTTTTTTTGTGGATACCCAGAAAATGGATCAAAATGGGCTCAGAGTGACATGGAATGGAATTCATGATTTCTCTTTGGATCTTGCAGTGTGCTCCACCTGTGCACTTTGAGGGCGCGATGGTAGCTTTGCCACTTTCTTGCCTAGCTTATTTCATCTTTTTGGATTGGTTTGTTTCGGGCTAAGAAAACGGGGATGATATGTATCCCCCACATTGCTTTAGGCCAGTTTGACGGAACATATGATGATTAAGCATGAGATGTTGGGATGCCGGATATCTTCGGAATGTTTTTTCCTAGAAAACTTCCCCGACACATCTGGAAACCCGTGTTCTTGTCCACGTTAAACGTACGTATGGTTACGGTCAATTTCCTTCCATCCGTTCAACGTTTTCTGTGGGCAAAGCAGCTGGTGAGTGATACGCAAATCCTGTTCATTGTTTGTATTTTTCGTTGAGAAATGAACTATATCCGGCTCATTGAAGCTCTTTTCCAACATATCTTAGTGTTCCTTCCCGCAATTTTCCTGACATTGCGGCTGCAAGCCAGGAAGTGGGCAATATCATTTGTCCAGGCACCCTATATAGCTTGGGCAGATCCGTTGCATTTTTTGCATCCGTGTAAGTGCATATAGCATATAGCATATAGCATATAGCATCTATCTATCTATCTGTCTGTCCGTCTATCTATCTATCTATCTATCTATCTGTCTATCTATCTATCTATCTCTCTATCTCTCTATCTCTCTATCTCTCTATCTCTCTATCTCTCTATCTCTCTATCTCTCTATCTCTCTATCTCTCTATCTCTCTATCTCTCTATCTCTCTATCGCTCTATCTATCTATCTATCTATCTTTCTTTCTATCTATCTATCTATCTATCTATCTCTCTCTCTCTGTCTATCTGTCTATCTGTCTATCTGTCTATCTGTCTATCTATCTGGATAGATATATTTAAGATTGCTAAAGATGCATGTTCCAACATGCCATTGTTTGCTGCTAGGAGGACCCCTGAAATGCGTAAGTCACAAGTGGCCAGTGGCACCTTGCACCAGTACTATGGGTGGGGTATCCCCCCATTCCTGATGTTTAAATCCCAATGATTGACGCGGAAATCATCTTGTCTTAAAACCCACAGATGCGTGATGGTTAAATCACTACTATAAATAAAGATTTAAAGCCCCCATCCAAGTCCCATGTGTTGTTCTTTCTAAAGTCACCATTTTTGGTGGTCAAATGTTCACTTCCCGCACCAGGAAGCACTATCCCCTGGCCATCGTGGTTTTTTTTTGCCTCCTGAACGGTGCTGCCGAGCTGGGCGTCGTTGCAGCCTTGGCCTTGGGCTATCTGAGGGAAAGGATACAGATCGATGCCGTGCTTCCATCGGATGGAAAAATACAGAGACACTCTGGCCATGTTTTGGAGCTGGTCAGTGGTTAATATTTGTGGAAAACATCCAACGAGGTAGAAACATATAGAATAAATATGAATAAGTTGTCATTATTTCAGTATTTTTTGTTTTCTTCCTCTATCTTGGGTATACTTGAAAATTGACACACGGGTTTGGCTCCTAATTGGCTTACCCCAATATTCCATGGCCTGCTTAGGTACAGAACATATCATCACGGCATAAAATAATTTATATTGCAACGAGTCCCCAAGGCGTACCGAGAAAAAACATGTTGGTTCAGTTATATCTCTAGTTTGGTCGGTTTTATCCCACTTTCCCTAGTGTCTCTGTAGCTATCAGTGGGCTCTAATGGGATACCATGGGACACCATATCTACATATACTGTACAGTAGTTGCGTCTGAAAATTGGGTGGTACCCCCTTAAAAAATTGAGTCTCACCCATGTCGAGCGGTTGCAGATGGTTCCGGACGCAACGGACTCCGGCCAACAGTAAACAAAGGCCCAGCCCCCCCAAACATAAACGAGAACCCTTCCTTAGGCATTTTGCAAAAATAGATGTCCAACAAACTCTCTGGATTTCCCCTTGCCAGTTTCATCAGCTCCTTAAGGATGGGAGCGCTCCCCTGTGCTCTTCTTTGGTCGTCGCCTTTTTAATGGCCGCTGGGTTCGCATCACCGAAGCAGACGCCACGGCCGGAACCGCGCTCTTTGGGGAGGCCCGGCTGCCCATGCAGGGCAGGCCTGTGGGCCGGCAGCAAGCACCACCCGAGTTCAGGGTTGCTGGGAGACGAAGCCTACCATTGAGGGCATGTTGGGGGCGTGGGTCATCATCACAAGGTGTATGAACAAGAGGTACTGTTGTAGTGATTCATGAACATTAATGAACTAGCTGGCGGTATTGGATGTTAGCCAAGGAGCTCCATGTTTTCAATCATTAGTTCCACATTCCCGGATTCCCTATTAATTGGGGAGCTACTAAGAGTTGTGCCCCCACATGACAATAATAGATACTGTACTGTAAATTGGGGAGACATGCTGATCCCCTAGGTCAGTCTCACCAGTGGAGATGGCGATGGGGGGAGATAGAGAGAGAGAGAGATAATATGAGATAATGTCATGCTGATCTCCTGAGATGTCGATGGAGAGAGATAATTGTTGTCATTGCTGAAGTCAGGCAGGTAATTTCAAATCAATCAAATAACATTCATATACATGTAGAATTAAAATAGATATGAAATAGTGTAGGTGGGGCGGCCCAGCCCTTGGGTGTTTTTCTCTGTTTTTTTTTCCGCGCTAAAAAACCAAGGCTTTTCAAGGCTCTGGGCATCGTCTTGGACGCTGAGCTGCAGACACAACACCTGGTGCCGTGCGGTGCCGCGAGATGAAAAAGATGCGCCTTTTGAGCCATGCAGCGCGGGTGAATCTTGAGCCCCGGTTTATACATGATTATGGTGGTATTAAATAGTATTTATTTGTTTGGAAGTATCAGAGCTGGGGTGGCCTACGCAAGGTATGAACAAACCGGGGTTGGAATTAAAATTAATTCAATGTCCTGTTTTTTTGGGGATTCTTAAAATCATCGATGGTTGGAGCTGACAAGTGTGGTAGCCCCCCTGTGGGCCCCAAAGCTGCTCCCTGGAGTCCCATGGATAGGTAAGAGCAGGATATGTCATGAAAAAATAACACATGGTTTCCCAGCGGCACAGCCATCAAAAACTCCAATGGTTTCCTGCCGAAACCCGGAGGGACTGGTCCTTAGATGTTTTTTTTTCTCTCTCCTTCGTGTTATATATATATATATACATAGTATTGCTAAACAAGCTGCACACGTACTTTTACTTTTACTAGATCCCATCATGGAATAATACTAAATAATGACCCTCGTGTTCTCACTCTAGCTGACCAAAATACATTCCATGAAGCTGCCGTTTGATGATGGATCCTCCCTGGCTGCTGGTGTTTTGGACACGTGGATCCATCCGACTTGGTCCCTGAGATGGGGTCCCTCTAAAAACAAATACAGAAGCGGGGCCAAACAACTTCCATCAACTTCCAAAGCTATGAATCTATGAATTGAACCGAATGAAATATATCAATAGAATAAGATCGGCATCATATGGGAACCTGTTTTTCCCCTTTGTTTTTTCTTTTTTTGGATACCATTTGTTTTTGTTTAAACATAGCAAGCCATGGAGCATAGAAATAGCTCTTCAGCATCTCACAGGTGAGGTGCCCACTTGGCCTGCACAGGTGCTCACTTGGGATGGAAGCATGATGATGTTTTTGGGATTGACGCAGAAAGCTATGGATGTGTTTGATGGATTAAACTATGATTAAACACTATGAAACCATGAATGTCAAGCAAGTTATGGTTAGATGTTGCCGATTAATGTCCATGGTTAGATGTTGATTTTTTTCGTTTCTGATGGGAACATCCCCTTCTGCGATAGATGATGACTGTCTCATGGTTGATCATCATGCCACGTCTCTGGGGAAATGACCCGGAATGACTTGTTTGAAGGGGGTTGACATCACCAACTCGCCAAAACCCCGAAGCCTCAAGAGTGACATGGTCTAATTGAAACACTGTCTTACAAACCATTTGTTCTTTGCTTCAGTGTCTGATGTTTTTTTTTGTTCCGAGGACTTCTTTTTGATTTTCAGGATTCCTTTCGGATTGCATGATGTTATCCTCCAAGTTACATTCATGATGCCGCGTTAGATTGCTTGTGAAAGTGGCTAATCCTTCATGTATATCCACCAGCTTCGGTCTGCAATCGTCGTGGGGATTCCACATGTTCCGTGGTGAACGATTTCGGCCATCCACAATAATGGATGAGTTGAGGCCATAGCTGGACCTGCCACTGAATTGATGTTGGCAGGAATTGCAGGACGAGGAGAAGGACCGGCTGATGGCCACTTGGGGCTTCTCCAGGATGTCCAGGGGCTTAAACAGATTTCTACCTTCCCATCCTTCAATGGGTAGATCATGGTATATACTTGTAGATAATCTTTTGAATGGGAGCATCATCTACAAGCGGGTGATGTTCAAGAAAACCGCCCATCCTAAGAGAAGGCAATCTTCCCCTCTCATCTAAGCTTGTTGGAGCGGTACGTCCAACATGGGGCATTTCATCCTGGCAGATTGCGCAGATCTGTGCCAGGTCATGGCACATCCCAAATCCCAAACGGTCCACGACCGCAGTTGGGTTCAAATCCACGGCCTGCCTTCATGATTTCTCGTGTCTTGCATTTGTTATGAATTTGTTATCCATATGTTTTTCTTCCATTCTCACTAAATAGCTACATTTCAAATCATGTCCATATGATGTGTTAGTTTGATTACATTTGTTTGATATAGGATCCTGGTGGAGCATTTTCCACATCTCGCGCGCCATGGAAGACATTGACCTCGAACACCCCTCGATCCAACGAGCTTTACACAGGTATCCAGACGTAGACGCAAGCACCTCGGCCTTATGATGATCTAGCGAGGTGATGGTGAGATGGAATGGAGCATTGGGCTTTGTTAATGAACCTCGACCTCCAAATCCTAGGATAATATCGGTGTTTTCGGAGTTTGACATGTTTGACCTATATCGACTGATTTTACCCAAAACACCTAGATACTACTTTGGTCATCGATTCTAGGACTTTGATTGCATGTTTTTGGGCTTGGTGAGACAAAGGCCGACACATATTTGCAGCGCCTCAAACGACTAAGGAAACAACCCGCAAAACCCCGGAAAAAAACACAAAAAAAAATGCAAATACCTGCAGATCCTGAAATCTCGTTGTTTTAGGTACTTTTCGTTTTTTTTTCTAGAATTCCAAAATTCTTCACGTTTTGTGTACGTGAGCAAGTGCTTAGATTCTCCAAGAAACATACTGTCATGTTTGGAACGAAGTGAATCATTTTTTGGGTTGTTTGACCTATCTTCTTAGAACGACTATTTTTTCCTCGGCAGTAGGGTATAGCAGGTATAGCTAACCCCCATTCAACAACCCATAAAGTTTGTCTTGAAACCGAAAGCCTGTATTCCCAAAAGGACAGATGGGTAATGTTTGCTACTGAAACATGGCAACGGAAACTCCCCATTGATAGTCATTTTATAGAGCATCCAATTATTCCATGAAAATTGGTGATTTACCAGAAATTTACCATTGCCATTTGTCAGCCATGTTTGATTGTCAAAGGGTATCCACCTTTCTTGATCCGCACTGAAAATCTCAAGCACCGGTGGTCTTTCCGCCTCATGTTGAGCTTAGGTAAGTTGAATTTTCCGAGTGATGCGTTGGAATGGTCCGAGAAGGAGCTCGACTTGTTTGTTGGACCTGCCCTCAGTAAGGTACGTACTGGCATGGTGCTGGCGGTTGCAGAACTTTCACAATGGTGTAGATGCGACTGGAGATATGCACAGAACTTAGAGAACCATCGGAAACCCACTGTGATATCCTTAGGTGGGGTCAGACATGCTCTTCATTTTTCCTCCCTGCACATTAGTGTTTTGGGCATCCCATGATCTTACATGCGTATTCATTCTTCGATTGCTTCTCCTGCAAGTTCAACACCGGGCCATGGAAGTAGCATGTAACGTAGAAACTGGACGATTTCCACTTTTTCTCCCACAAGTTCCTCAATTTATACCTAGATTGGCTCATTTGCTGATGTCCTTTGGTTTTATAGTTTTGTAATTTATTTTTTCCCCCCTCAGGATGCGGCAATACCTTAAAAGGGGCCCCGTGAATCACGGAGCCGTACGGAGCCCTCAGGAAGCGGTGGCTTCCTAAAACCGAAGAGGACCATGTACTGGTGCTGGTTGATGCTGGTTGGAGCTTTCACGGGCTTTCCAAGATCTGATCTTCCATCCTTTTCTCCGGTTTTTTCCATCAAATTCTGATTCTATTCGGGACCATGATCATTTGACCTTTGACCTTTTTTATATGTTGTCATATCTTTGTAGAATGCTTGGGACGGCTTGAAGCGCCCAGACTCATGCGGTATTTTGGATGTCCAACAATGAACGGCACCATTTGGGGATGCGTTGGGTCAACCACGGCACATATGTTGATGCTTGATGTTGATGCTGTTGATATTGTTGTCTTACGCGTGAAATCATATATCACTAAAATTGCTGACCCCCAGTAGGATGCGGTTGGGATTGAGCTCAGCACGCTGGATGCGAAGAATCCAGATCGCCCCACATGATGCATCTACAAAGCGTGGTTGACGAATCCCAACAGATGATGATTTGATATTATTTTTGGATATTATAGGATATTATAGGCATTTATGCACACATATACATACATACATATATATATATATATATAATCATATACACATACACACACACATATATATATATATATACACTGTATATATATATATATATACATCCCTATAGATCTAAATCCTTGCTGAAGAGGTACTTAACCTAACCCCCCAAAAGTCATACTCCAAAAAATTGCCTCAGAAGGTACAGATGAATCATCTTGGATCCATAGGGTGTATAGATGTGTATAAAAGTCTATTGTCCTCATGGAGTATAAAGTATGGAAACGTAAAGAATCCTCACTGAAATGAGGATATTTTTGAAAATCCATGACAATCCTATGTTCGATCCACTTCAGGATGATTCTTTATATATATAATAATACTAATAATAATAATAAATATATATATATATATACATATATATATACATATATATATATATATATAGAACTTGATAAAATTGGCTCCCCCTTCAGTAGTTTCAGGAGATCAAAATGATCCTCGCCAGGAGGAAACCCCCGACATCACCGCGAGTGCCGCGAGTTCCGCAAAGCGACGCCGCAGGCTGGTCTTCCTCCGTTGCTACGGTCAGCGGTTTCAGTTTTTCAAACGGAATTTCAGGATCCAAAAATGGAGGTACTGTACCATAATAAGGCCATAGATGTAGATAATGTATGGTAATTTAATGTCATTTAAGAGTTTGCGAAGTGGAAAATCGCAGTTTTTTTTTAAACGTAAATCATCTAGAAAGGAGCCATGTTAAACAAATTTGATCATGGGATTTAACTTGTTTAATTGTCAGCCTCATGATGGTGAATGGTGATGAATAATGGGGAGTGACAATCAACAATTCAGTTCGCCAGCGCTCCTCTTATCAGGGTGTTTTTGAACATGGAGTATGGCTATGTTGAATGGGGAAAATGATTGTCCTGTGTTTTAGGATGTTTAGGGTGGCCTATTTTCAGACAAAGCCATGTTTGATAAGTTTCATCCCATCGATGGGATGATGCCAAGCCATGAAAAAGGTGACCCATTAATCGATGGCTGTCTCGGTAGTCGGCTCAGGGTTGGCTGAATTGCATTGAATTGCCATGATACAGAGGAGAATCAT